TCCCCCCTTGTGTGCTCTCATGGCCACCTCGGCTAGTGTTGTCGATCATTGCTTGGCAATATTATAACACAAATGCAGGGTTTTAATGTGATCCTTTATGACTACGTTTCGCCCTTCAGTGGGTTTTTAATGTCACAAACAGAAATACTACCTGGTGGTGGAAGGAACGCGAAGTTAGTATGTAGTATTTATTGTCGCTGAGGTCAGGTGAAGAATGCTGCTTCTGATGATTGTACCGAGTTGGGTTATATAGAGTCTAAAAAAACTTGGGTTGCTTGGAAAGGTGAGTGGCATTAAGTTTTGTGAGAGGTCCTTCTCGGGTTCATCATCAGATGCAGCATTATTCACCTGGTACCTCTGATGGTCTATAAATACTCGCGTTTCTTCCACCCCAGTAGTTCTGTTTGGTGACTTGAAAAAGCCACTGTGTGGGCGAAAAGTAGTCAATTAAGGAGCTAATTATAACTGCATTTGGTGTTTATATTGCCTTTGTGTCGGTATTTTAGACATTTATTTCCATCATTGCTCATGTTGCTTCTCATAGTATTCTTCTTATTGGCCTCATGCAGTTCTGTTGTGGGTTGTACTTTATCTGCAATTATTCCTTATGTCCATCGCAGAGGGTATTGTTCCTACTAAGTAGTCCCTTATCGCCCTTGCCATTCCATTCCTTCCATTTTCTCATAAAACCCCATGGTTTTAATGAGCAGTTGCAAAACTCCTCCTCCCCTCTCCTCTCTCCGTCTTTCCTGTGGATTTGATATCCAGGTTGGAAAAGATTGAATCTGTTATTATTTGGTGAGTTTTGTTTCTGTGAGTGCTATTATGTCTGGGGATGTCTCTTTGATTCTTCGTGCCTCTCCTCATACTTGTTTGTTATTCCATTTGATTTTGTATACCCTCCACCTCAACTTCTTTCTATGACTGTGGGTCTGGGAAGTATATTGGGGTGGGGAAGTGGGAGACCTGGTAAGGAACTATGGGTTGTTGCTGTGGGGTGAAGTTTGTAATGTAGTGGGTGGGGGCTTTTGGATGTGGCATGGGAGTTTTTTTGTGATTTAGAGTGTTGGTTGCACTGGGGTTGACTGGTTGGAGGCTTCTATAGGAATTTGTGAGGGAGGTGTATTTGATTTGATACTTTGTGTGTGTGTGTGTGTGTGTGTGTGTGTGTGTGTGTGTGTGTGTGTGTGGTGTGTGTGTGTGTGTGTGTGTGTGTGTGTGTGTGTGTTGTGGATTTTAATACTGAGATGGAATCGACACTATATGAAGCGCGAAAGTTTTGTGGTCATACCTGCTCAAGGAATGGTGCAGGGCTCAATCCTCCTGCTGTTAACTGCAACATTTTCACTGTCACTCATCTCTAAAAAATCAACTACCATTTGATAAAAAAGAATTTGCAACGCATTTAGAAATTTAATACCATCACTGTGTGACGGAACGATGTATTCACAAATAGACATCATTGAAAACATATCAGAAAAATCATACAGGGTATTATCGGTCTTATATCTCCTGGTTTTCTGTGTCAGGTTGGTGGAAAGTCGTGAGCCTGAAGATGAGAGCCTTTATTCTACAAGTGTCGTTGCTGCTGTTCATCTGTGCTTGCTTCACAAGGAAGTCATGTTTTATCTTGCCAAGAGGTTACAAAATCGACCATTAAGGAAGGTACGTAAGGTAGATTTAGGCTTGCGTAGGGATCAAACTTATTAATTACCATTTGGGACACACGCACACATACGAAAAAGGGCCTCTAATACCGTATTTCACAAGAGACAGACATAAAATTAAGAAGCAAGCAACAATATCAGGCAGTTGGGATTGTGTGAAAAAGATGTGTTAATAGGAAAACGTAACAAATGCGAGTTACGCAAGGGTCAGTACTGGGACATTAGGACTGGTACTGATACTAGTGTATGTCAGTGACGTACCAGACAAGGTAGAGTCAGATGTAATCCCTGTTTGCATGATGACGTTATAGTGAGGAGAATAAAGAAAAAACGACGAGGACAGAGTAAGGCGCAATGGACCTGTGCAAATTTGCAGATTGATCGGGTTGGTGGGCTACTTCACTTTCAAACCCCAGCAACTTGAAATGTTTGAAATAAAGGGGGGAAAGGGCAAGAAGACTGAAATCTATGTGATTATGGTTCGGAGGACCGAGGCTGCGATCACAAACCGCACTGAATGAAAAAGACATAGGGGCAGGTGAGCATTGGCCGGACATATCCCCAGAGGCTATGGCATCAACCAACTTAACTTCTGCATTCAATATTTGGTTTGGAATATCCCCTCAGGGAGGTTACTCGACGGGCTGGTGAAGGGCTCTTGATCTAGCAGGACTGTGATCTATGATGCTGTTCCTTGAATTGATCTCTGGATACCTTCTATCCACCATGCGCTGTATATTCCTTTACGGGGTTTTAGCGCGCTCCTCTTATTATATTAATGTTTGGCAAATTTAAGAGTAACTTTCAGGAATGTCAGCAGTCGTATGAACTTATTATCTCACCTGTGTTGATTGTATGCACCCCCTCAAGGAAGGTTCCTTGATGTTGATGAGGGGTTTGATTTTGGTATTTGGATCTGTGCACTCCAGTTACCCGAATTGAAGCCTGAATGCCTTCCACATCCCCACAGGTGCTGTATTATCCTCCGGGTTTAGCGGCTTCCACTTGATTAAATAATATTAATTGATGTATGCGACACATGCCAAAGGTTAAGCTTCATCTGAAGAAGTATGTTAAGAGACGGGGAGAAAGTGCTGAGGCATGCAATTAATGACAAAATTCCCGGAATGCTTAAAAGAAGTGTGAGCTATGAGGCTGAGGTAATGGGCATCATCTTGTCATAGGACAAAGAACTTGTAAACCATGATAAAATACATAAAAAATATCTCATCAGTTGACTGATTAGGGTGGAACTCCGCCTTTCCACTGTTCCACCTCATCCTCTTCATCAGTATTATGCCCCATTATCAACGAATGTTGCCGCACTTTTGTCATGATAATGGATTGAAACAATCGAACCTCAAGGATAAAGAGGACTGATACACTGTGCTCGCATAAAACTTACGAATGACATGATTTTAGGCCTCGTAATAGAATTCCCTTTGAAATTGGCTGGTCCAGTGACCCCTTGTCTAGAAGCAGGTTATACAGTGTTTGGCATGACGCGGATGTGTGGCCCTTCTCCTACAGGAATCGTCACCTTGAGATGACTCTCTGTCGACAAAGTATCAGACAAGCATTATCTTACCTGTTTGCAGGTGCTCTTGCACGCAGGTGTATTTTTTGCGGCATACAGGTGACTGTACAATGCATATGAACTATCTACCCAATATTTAGATCTTTTCGCGTATATCGTGATTTCTGTAATTACCGGGGTGCCTGTAGGAACCTCTTGGAACTTTTAGGGAGAGTACTTTGACGTTGATCCCTTAATGACAATTTTACTGATGCAAATTATTTTAACCTGGTCTGATAATATTGATTTTTCTTGTGTGTTTCATCCCTGTTAATACTTTTTGCTTATGTTACCTGAGATGTTCTCACGTTTGTGCTGTTATCATTTCTCACTGTCAAGATTACTGAAAGATATACCAGGTCAAAGGTATTTCAACTCAGAACTTTCTCCCTACAGTTCTCCTTACCTTCTTCACCCTCCGCTGCTGCCTCATCATCCTCTCCCTCCTACTGCTATTCCAGTTTTAGTTCGTTCCTCCTACTGCTATTCCACTGCTATTCCTCCTACTGCTATTCCATCTTTTGCTATTGCTCCTGCTGCTATTCCTACTGTTATTCCTCTTGCTATTCCTACTGCTATTCCTCCTACTTCTATTCCTACTGCTATTCCTCCTACTGCTATTCCTCCTGCTATTCCTACTGCTATTCCTCCTACTGCTATTCCTCCTGCTATTCCTACTGCTATTCCTCCTGCTGTTCCTACTGCTATTCCTCCTGCTATTCCTACTGCTATTCCTCCTGCTATTCCTACTGCTATTCCTCCTGCTGTTCCTACTGCTATTCCTCCTGCTATTCCTACTGCTGTTCCTCCTACTTCTGTTGCTACTGCTATTCGTCCTACTGCTACTCCACCTTCTGCTATTCCTACTGCCATTCCTCCTACTGCTATTCCACTGTTTTAGTTCCTTCTCTCCCTTTCACTCTCTTTGTAATCTAATATGTGAAGAATTGTTTAAATTTTTTTTAATTTTTTAATTTTTTTTAAATTTTATTTTTAAAATTTTCAATAGGATGTTTACGATTAAGAATGAGTAATATATACGTAAAGAAAAAGTAAATAAGGTCAACTTCTGCGTAAACTTAATTTTTAAAGGTCTGGCTCTTATGTTTACATACCCCTCAAGGAAGGTTCCTTGATGTTGGTGAGGGGCTCTTGATTTAGGGAATTGGATCTGTGCTCCAGTTCCCCGAATTAAGCCTGAATGCCTTCCACATCGCCCCCCCCAGGCGCTGTATAATCCTCCGGGTTTAGCGCTTCCCCCTTGATTATAATAATAATAATTATGTTTGCATAGATAAATGATCGTAATAATAATAATAATAATAATTGTAATAAAATAAAATAAATAATAATAATAATAATAAAAATGATAATGAAATAATAATAATGATTTTAATAATAATAATAATAATAATAATAATAATAATAATAATAACTAAAAATAATAATAATAATAATAATTGTAATAAAATAAAATAAATAATAATAATAACAATAAAAATGATAATGAAATAATAATAATGATTTTAATAATAATAATAATAATAAATAATAATAATAATAATAATAATAATAATAATAATAATAACTAATAATAATAATAATAATAATAATAACTAATAATAATAATAATTGTAATAAAATAAAATAAATAATAATAATAATAATAAAAATGATAATGAAATAATAATAATGATTTTAATAATAATAATAATAACTAATAACAAGAATAATAATAATAATAATCATAAAAATAAGAAGAAGAAGAAGAAGAAGAAGAAGAAGAAGAAATACAATATACATGATATATTTAGCATTCCACTGTTTGTACTGCCAGATGTTCCCTAAAGTTAGCTTTGCGCTGTGTTTCCCTCAGACGTACAACGTGAACAAGCAGGTGGCTGACAGTGCTAGCACAGCCACAGCTTACTTGACGGGGGTCAAGACGAACTACAAGACCATTGGCGTTGACGGGACTGCCATATATAAGAACTGCTCAAGCATCAACGAATCCAACAAAGTGTCCTCAATTCTCCAGTGGGCTCAAAAAGCTGGCAAGAGAACTGGTAATGAGATGCAGATTGAGAGGTACACACACACACACACACACACACACACACACACACACACACACACACACACACACACACACACACACACACACACACACACACACACACACCACACACACACATAACCCACACACATACACACACACATACACATACACACACACACACACACACACACACACACACCACACACACGACACACACACACACACACACACACACACACACACACACACACACAGAGGAGTGCACACTACACACACAAGAAGTATGATAAAGCTCATGGAGCAGCGAGAGTGACCTAGTAGGGACCAGTAAAGAGGCGGAGTTAAGAGCTGTGATTCGACCACTGCAACCACAGCTAGGTGAATACACACACACAGGAAGGAGAATAGTCTGGAAAGTGACGTGGTGAAGGCAGGAACCATACTTAGTTTTAAGACAAGGTATGATAAAGCTCATGGAGCAAGGAGAGAGAGGACCCAGTAGCGATCAGTGAAGAGGCGGGGCCAGGAGGTATGAATCGACACCTGCAACCACAGTTAGGTGAGTACACACACACACACAATACACAATACATACACAATATCGGGGGAAGAAAAAAAGATTTCTTCATTGACTATGATATAATTTTCCGTAATATCAGGAGCTGCAATCGGAAGGTGGTCTCTGACTCTCTAGGCAACATTCAGCTTCAACACTGACCTCTGTCCCCTTCCTCCAGGTGTGGTGACATCAACGCGAGTAACGCACGCTACGCCGGCAGGAACGTACGCTCATGTCGACGGACCGCGACTGGGAGTGTGACGGAGCCATCAGCGCTGAGGACGAAGAGCTGTGTCCTGCCGTGAAGGATATCGCTACCCAGCTGGTGGAGGAGGAGCCTGGGAAGAGCATCAATGTGAGTGTTGGCGAGGGAGGCAATGTTAGTGAGGGAGGGAGTAATGGCGAGAGAATGCTGGCGAGGGAGTGTTGGCGAGGAATGGAGTGTTGGGGAAGGAGGGAGTGTTGGCTAGGGAGACAGTGTTAGTGAGGGAGGAGTGATGGGGAGGGAGTGCTGGCGAGGGAGTGTTGGCGAGGGAGTGTTGGCGAGGGATGGAATGTTGGCGAGGGAGTGCTGGCGAAGGAGTGTTGGCAAGGGATGGAGTGTTGGTGAGGGAGGGAGTGCTGGTGAGGGAGGGAATGTTGGCGAGGCAGGGAGTGCTGACGAGGGAGGCAGTGTTAGCGAGGGTGGGAGTGATGGCAAGAGAGTGCTGCGAAGGAACGTTGGCGAGGCAGAGAGTGAAGCTGGGGGGGGGGTGTAAAAAAAAAAGGCACATTTGCAGAGACGAACGTTGCTGAGATGCTTCACCAGTGGACAGACCGGAGCCTGCAGCGCAGGCGATACGTTTCGTTAATATTCCTGATGCTGCGCTATGCGCATGTCTCACCTATAAAGTTGTCGGTATATTATACCATTTATAATATAATAATAGTACCGAACAAGTGCTAAACCCGTAAGTGTCACACAACCCATTGGGAATGGAATGCCGTCAGGCTCGATCCGAGGAAGGAGAGTGGTAGATACACTTCCTCGGATCAAGAGCCCTCCACCATCTAGGTGCGTGCCCTAATCAATCCAAGTGTGACTTTTGATCGAAGGGGAGGTACCCTCCCTTTCCTTGGATCAAACTTGATTGCTTCTCATTCCCCAGAGAGTTATATGTCCCCTATGGGTTTAGTGCTTTTCCATGGTAATAATAATAATAATAATAATAATAATAATAATAATAACAACAATAACAATAATAATATGCAATAATAAGCAATAATAATAATAATAATAATAATAATAATAATAATAATAATAATAATAATAATAATAATAATAATAATAATAATAATAATAATAATAATGAAATGCTAAATTTCCCTCGTTCTATAAGTTAGATGTGTGTTGTATTGTTCAGGAAGGGAGGGAAGTGGTATGACATCACATGGATGCGCTAAACTCACGACGTTCATACAATGCCTGGGGTTATGTTTGATAGCGTTTTTTATGTATTCCGTACTCATCGTATAGGTGGTCGTCACCCTCTCCCCATCCTGTCGGCAGTAGTCACCTCAGTGCTCATCCTGTGGGTAATAGTCACCCCAATACCCATCCTGTGAACAGTACTTACCCCAATACTCATCTTGTGAGAAGTAGTCACCCCAATACTCATCCTGTGTCCATCTTGTAGGAGGAAGTCTAAAGATAACAGGGGCACATAGCGAGTCCATGGACTGGGGTCCTAGCATGAGCAGTCAGGTTTGACTCATCCAAGGGATGGGTAGCTCCTACTATTCTTTGTATTAAGAGCCATTCACTAGCATCAAGGCACCTCCTTCCCACCTCTTGAATGGACACATAAATAGGAAATCAATCTTTAAGTCGTATAATCTACCGCAGGTTGTGATGGGCGGTGGGTACCAGTACTTCGACGCCAACGCTGTGGGCACCGTTGAAGACCCACTGGAAACAGAGTTTGTTCCTTGCAACAGAACGAACACCACCAATCTCGTCGACGTCTGGAAGACCTATCATGCGAGCTACTCACCTGAGTTCGTGAGGACCAAGTCTGATCTGAATAAGGTCGACGCTGCTAATACCCAGTTTTTACTAGGTAATTTAAGATCAACGTTCGTGAGGGTTTTAGCGCCTGGAGGAATGGGGAAAATAGGTTTGACTTAAGGAAATGGAGAGTAGGTTCAGGTCCTAGGATCGCGAGTCCTCCTCGATATAATCTTCTGAAAGGAGTATTGTCCACCCTTGCCGATCCAGGCTTAATCTTCCCGTCACACTGTGTAGGTGTTGTCATTGTCGGCGCAACATAGCGCCGAATCAGAGCTGTTGACAGAGCCTGCTAGAGCACAGTCTGCTGGTATACAGTCTGCTCTACTTGACGAGTCTTTCAGTCCAACATTTATACTGCTGTATATGTGTTTGAAATTTCTCCTTGCACAGTATTACTTTAAAAGTGTATTGATATATTGGTTCCTCAAGCACTTTTGCCTCTCTCACACATTCCCTCCACTCACACACTCCCATCATTCTCACACCAACTCCACTTACCACATACTCCTTCATTCACAGTCCCCCACTCACAAACGCTCTCTGCTCACACGCACTCCCACTCAAAATATATTCTTCCACATAGGACTGTTTTCCAACGGGCACATGCCTTACGAGTATGAGAAAAGGGAGAAGAAATTGGACGTCCCTACCTTGGAAGATATGACGAGGGCTGCTATTGAAATTCTGCAGCAGGAACCCCAAGGATATTTCTTGTTGGTGAGCTAAAATCAATCTTTTATTCTCTCTCTCTCTGAACAACGTTATCCATATTTCTAAATGTATGTGTCCGTTAAATACGGAATCTACTACATCATAAAAAAAGGTTGTGTGATCCAGTAGAACATGTTTAGTGAGTTAAAATGTATTTAAGATACACCAGAAGCTATTCGATAACAGTTAATGCTTTTAAATTATACAAAGCTGTAGAAGCCTATGATTCCAGATGTTAGTATCTGTGGAAAATACTGTATATATTTACGGAAATACGGTATTTTATATGTAAATTTTTTAATAAAAAATTATATTATAAAAAATGGGAAGCTCTGCACCTGCGCAGAGGTCACTCGCCATTGTGCTTTTGAATGAGCCAAGAAAACGTTAGTGAAAATAAGAATAATTTTCGTCGCTCTAGAGGTTATATTGGGCTTACACCTCTCAAATAGGAGCCGAAATTGTTGGATGTGCATTTCTGCATAATTTGAGCATTAAATCGATGTACAGGACAGCTCCAAGAACCTCAGATAAGTTATCTAAATTATGTTTGTAATTCTGGCCAGTATTATCATCATAAATTTAGTTAGAGGGAGGTTTTTGAGTACGATGCACAGTAATCTCCAGACTAATTGGTGAGTGTTATGATTATAAATTCTCCTTCTGTTATATAAATGTGTATATGTAATCATTTATTAATTTTAATATCCAGTCCACAAAAATTATAATAATTTTACCAGAATTCCTGGTGTGTATGTATTCAAATTCAAATTCAAATTCAAAGTTTATTCTCTATAAGGATTACAATGCTGAGTTTACAGAAATTTGGTTATTGTTTGGTTTACATGTAGTAAAATTGTGATTACAGAGTGTACCACTAGAACGCTTAGCATGGCTAGGCATTTCGGGCATACTTAGTTTTATTCTTAATTGTAAAATATTACAATTGGTATTATGGCTAAGTGACTAAATACTAGTTTGTGAGTTTAGCAATGTGAATGCTTTTGTTTTGGCACAGTATATAGTTTCAGTATTGGAGTACATTTCATTTGCAATTAATATAGGTCTAGAGAAACTTGTGGATAGATGGTAGGTATCGAAGGGGGACATTTTTGCGACCTAGGTGTCCTAAAAATCCCTACTTGTCTCTGTAACTTTGATAAATAATAATTATCTTAGTTACCATTTACTGGTATGTACCTTATGTTACATCCAAGTAAATGTAATTTTCCATAGTATCAGTTGTAATAATAATGATAAAAGAGATGTGTAGTTGTTTAACGACCATATAAACAATATAAGATTTTTTATATAATTAAAACCGATAATAAATATTATTGCCGTAATATTCGTTAAAAATAATTAAATCCGTCAGGGTCATAAAAGGCCTAGGAAATAGGAGTTAATTAGGTTTGATCCGAGGGCAGAGAGGGTAATTACAGTTCTTTGGATCAAGAACCCTTCATCTGCATCATCACCAATCCACCTACAAGGAAGGATAGCTCCAATTCCTTCGATCAGTAGGCCTTCCCGGGCATCACAGAATCCTACAATACTCAATATCGGAAACCATACCACGGGTGGGGTTTGAACCCGCAATCGTGTCATTACGATTTCGTGAGTCAACTCAATACCGGAATACAGGTCCTTACGCTGCTCTCTCCTGAGATGCTCTCTGTCCGACAAAAGTATCAGACAAGATTATTTACTGTTTGCAGGTGCTCTTGCACGCAGGGTTGTACATTTTTTTGCGGCATAAGGTGACTGTACAATGCTATGAACTATTACCCATACTTTAGATCTTTTCGCGTATATCGTGATTTCTGTAAATTACCGGGGTGCCTGTCGGAACATCTTGGCACTTTAGGAGAGACTTGACGTTGATCCCTTAATGACAATTTTACTGATGCAAATTTATTTTAACTGGTCTGATAATATTGATTTTTCTTGTGTGTTTCATCCTGTTAATTACTTTTTGCTTATGTTACCTGAGATGTTCTCACGTATGTGCTGTTATCATTTTCTCACTGTCAAGATTACTGTAAGAATATCACAGGTCAAGGTATTTCAATCAGAACTTTATCCCTACAGTTCTCCTAACCTTCTCACCTCTGCTGCTGGCCTCATCCTCCTACCCTCCTACTCTATTCCAGTTTTAGTTCGTTCACCTCTGCTATTCCACTGCTATTCCTAATACTGCTATTCCATCTTTTGCTAATAGGCTCCTGCTGCTATTCTACTGTTATTCTCTTGCTATTCCTATGCTATTCTCTACTCTATCTACTGCTATTCTCTATGCTTATTCTCTGCTATTCTACTGTATTCCTTACAGCTATTCCTCTGCTTTCCTACTGCTATTCTTGCTGTCCTACTGCTATTCCTCTGTAATTCCTTACTGCTATTCCTCGCTATTTATGCTATTCCTCTGCTGTTCCTATGCTAATCCACTGCTATTCCTACTGCAGTTCCTCCTACTTCTGTGCTTTGTATTTCGTCCTATGCTTACTCACCTTCTGCTATTTTACTGCTTTCTCCTTACTGTATTCCACTGTTTTAGTTCCTTCCTCTCCCTTTCACTCTCTTTGTAATCTAATCTGTGAGAATATGTTTAATTTATTTTAATTTTTTAATTTTTTTTAATTTAATTTTTAAAACATATTCAATAGGTTGTTACGATTAAGAATGAAGTATTTATACGTAAAGAAAAGTAAATAAAAACAACACCACCACAAAAAAACACAAAAAAAAAAAACTAAAACAAAAAATTTTTTTAAAAAAAGGTCAACTTCTGCGTAAACTTAATTTTAAAGGTGCTGGCTATTGTGTTTACATACCCTCAAGGAAGGTTCCTTGATGTTGGTGAGGGGCTCTTGATTTTAGGGAATTGGATCTGTGCTCCAGTTCCCCGAATTATGCTGAATTCCTTTCAAACGCCCCACCAGGCGCTGTCTAATCCTCCGGGTTTAGCGCTTCCCCTTGTTATTAATAATAATCATTATTTTTGATGATACAATGATCGTAATAACTAATTAATAATAATATCTGTAATAAAATAAAATAAATCATAAAATATCATAAAAATTGATAATGAAATAATATAAGATTTTAACTCATAATAATAAATAATAAATAATAATAATAATAATAATAACTAAAAAATAATAATAATAATAATATTGTATAAAATAAAATAAATAATAATACTATAATTAAAAATGATAATGAAAAATTACTAATGATTTTCATAATAATACTAATAATATTAATCATAACATAATAATAATAATAAAATAATAATAATAACTCATAATAATAAGAATAATAATTAATAATAATAATAATAATAATTGTAATAAAATAAAATACAATAAATAAATAATAATAATAAAAATGATATGAAAAATAATAATGATTTTACTAATAATACTAATAACTAATATCAGAATAATAATAATAATAATCATAAAATAAAGAAGAGAAGAAGAAGAGACAGAGAAGCCGGAGACGAAATACAATCTACATGATTTCTTTTTAGCATTCCTCTGTTTCTATGCCAGATGTCCTAAAGTTAGTTTGCGCGTGTTTCCCTCAGACGTACACGTGAACACGCAGGATGGCTGACAGTGCTTAGGCACAGCCACAGCTTACTTGACGGGGGGTCAAGACGAAAACTACAAGACAATGGCGTTGACGGGACTGCCAATATATAAGGAACTGCTCAAGTACTCAAGACACAAACCAAGTGTCCTCATTCTCAGTGGGTCAAAAGTGGCTAACGAGAATGGTAATGAAGATGCAGAGATTGAGAGGTACACACACACACACACACACACACACACACACACACCACCACCCAACACACAACCACACAACACACACACCACACACACACAACAACACACACAAACACATATCCCACACAATACAACACCACATACCATACCACCCACAAACACACACACACACACACACACACACACACACACACCACAACACCACACACCACACACTCACACAACACAGAGGAAGTGCACACTACACACAACATGAAGCTATGATTAAAGGCTCATGGTGCCGGAGCGTGACCTTGTAGGGACCAGTAAGAGGCGGAGTTAAGAAGCTGTGATTCGAACCACTGCAACCACAGTAGGTGATACACCACACAGGAAGGAGAATCGTCTGGACAAGTGACGTGGTGAGGCAGGAACAAACCTTTCTAGTTTTAAGACATGGTTATGATAAAAGCTCAGGGCAAGTGAGGAAGAGAGGACCCAGTAGCGATCAGTGAAGAGGCGGGGCAGGAGGTAAGATCGTTCACTGCATCCACATTTAGGTGAGTACACCACACAAATACACAATACATCACCAAAATCGAGTGGAAGAAAAAAAGATTTCTTCATTGACTATGATATATTTTCCGTAATATCAGGAGCCTGCAATCGGAAGGTGGTCTCTGACTCTTAGGCACATTTCAGCTTCACATGACCTCTGTTCCCCTTCCTCCAGGTGTGGGTGACATCACACGCTGGTAAGCCGCTACGCGCAGGAACGTACGCTCATGTCGCGGACCGCGTGGAGTGTGACGGAGCCATCAGCGCTGAGGACGAGAGCTGTGTCCTGCCGGAAGGATCTAGCTACCTGCTGGTGGCGGAGGAGCCTGGGAAGAGCATCAATGTGAGTGTTGCGAGGGAGGCACTGTTAGTGAGGGAGGGAGTAATGGCGAGAGAATGCAGGCGAGGGAGTGTGGCGAGGATGGGTGTTGGGGAAGGAGGGAGTTGGTGAGGGCGACAGTGTTAGTGAGGGAGGAGTTGAATGGGGAGGAGAGTGTGGCGAGGGAGTGTTGGGAGGGAGTGTTGGCGAGGGAAGGAATGTCGGCGAGGGAGTGCTGGGAAGGCTGTTGGAAGGGATATGGAGTGGTGGTGAGGGAGGGAGTGTGTGATGGGGATGGGAATGTTGGCGTGGCAGGGAGTGCTGACGCGGGAGGCAGTGTTGTAGCGAGGGTGGGACGTGATGGCAAGAGAGTACATTGCGAACGGAACGTGGGAGGCAGAGCGAGAAGCTGGGGGGGGGGTTGGTAAAAAAAAAGGCACATTTGCAGAGACGAACGTTGCTGAGATGCTTCCCAGTGGACAGGACCGGAGCTGCAGGCAGGCGGGCTACGTTTCGTTAATATTCCTTGATGCTGCGCACTGGCATGTCTCACCTATTAAGTTGTGGTATATTATACCCTTTATAATATACTTAATAGTACGAAACAAGTCTATACCCGTAAGAGTCACAACAAACCATTGGGAATGGAATGCGTAGGGTCGATCCGAGGAAGGGGTGGTTAGATACACTCTCGGATCAAGAGCTCACCATCTAGGTGCGTGCCCTAAATCAATCAGTGTGACTTTTGATCGAAGGGAGGTACCCTCCTTTCCTTGGATCAAACTGATTGCTTCTATCCCCATGCGGCGTTATATTCCTAGGGGGTTTAGTGCTTTTCTGGTACTAATAATAATAATATTAATAATAATAATAATAATAACAAACTATAACAATATAATTATGCAATAATAAGCAAACTTAATAAATAATAATAATAATATACTAATCATAATAATAATAATAATAATAATAATAATAATAATAATAATAATAATAATAATAATGAAATGCCTAAATTTCCCTCGGTTCTATAAGTTTAGATGTGTGTTGTATTGTTCAGGAAGGGGAGGGAAGTGGTAAGACATTACTATGGATGCGCCTTAAAACTCCTCGACGTTCATTTACATTGCCTGGTTTATGTTTGATAGCGTTTTTTTTTTTTATGTATCCGTCCTCTCGTATAGGTGGTCGTCACCCTTCATCCTGTCGGCAGAAGTCCCTCAGTGCTCATCTGTGGGTTAATAGTCACCCCAATACCATCTGTGAACAGTACTTACCACAATACTCATTTGTGAGCAGTAGTCACCAATATCATCCAGTGTCCCTCTTGTAGGCGGAAGGTCTAAGACTACAGGGGCACAATAGCGAGTCCAAGGACTGGGGGTCTTGCTATGAGCAGTAGGTTTGATCATCCAAGGGATGGGTGAAGCTTCTACTATTTTTTTATTAAGAGCATTTCCACCTCCCCATGATCTCCCCCTCCACTCCTAGGCATCAAGGCACTCCTCCCACCTCTTGAATGGGAAATAAATAGGAAATCAATCTTTAAGTCGTATAATCTACCGAGGTTTGTGATGGGCGGTGGGTACCAGTTACTTCGACGCCAACGCTGTGGGGGCACCGTGAGACACTGGAAACAGAGTTTGTCTTGCAAACCGAACGCAAACACCACAATTCGTCGAGTCTGGAAGACCTATCATGCGGACTCAAGACGTTCGTGGAGGGGACACTGTCTGATCTGAATAAGGTTCGACCCTGCTATACCCAGATTATACTAGGTAATTTAAGATCACCGTTCGAGAGGGTTTTAGGCTGGAGGAATGTGGAAACTAGGTTGACTTAATGAAATGGAGAGTAGGTTCACGGTCTAGGATCGCGAGTCTCTCGATATAATCTTCTGAAAGGTGTATTGTCCACTTGCGCTTCCAGGCTTAATCTTCCGTCAACTGTGTAGGTGTTGTCTTGTCGGCGCAACATAGCGCGAAATCAGAGCTGTTGACAGAGCTGCTAGAGCACAGTCTGCTGGTATAAGTCTGCTTACTTGACGAGTCTTTCCGTCCACATTTTACTTGCTGTTATGTGTTTGAACTTTCTCTTGCACAGTATTACTTTAAAAGTGTTCTTGATATATTGGGTTCCTCAATCACTTTTGCCTCTCTCTCACAATTCCTCCACTCACACACTCCCTCATTCTCCCCCCCCCCCCACCCCTCCACTTCCCAATACTCATACTTCACAGTCCCACTCACAAACGCTTCTGCTCACCGCACTCCAACTCCAAATTATTTCTTCTCATAGGATGTATTTCTTCAACGGGCAATGCCTTACGAGTATGAGAAAAGGGAGAAGAAAATTGGACGTCCTACTGGAAGATATGCCGCGGGCTGCCTATTGACATTCTGCAGCAGGAAACCCACGGATTATTTCTTGGAGGTGAGCTAAAATCAATCTTTTATTTCTCTCTCTCTCTGAACAACGATATCATTATTCTAAAAGTATGTGTCCGTTAAATACGGAATCTACTACATCATAAAAAAAGGTTGTGTGAGTCCAGAAGACCATGTTTTAGTGAGTTAACTGTATTTAGCTAACCAGAAGCTATCGTAACAGTAATGCTTTTAAATTATACAAAGCAGTAGAAGCTATGGATTCCAGATGTTAGTAACTGTGGAAAATACTGTATATATATCGGAAATACGTAATTATTTGTAAATTTTTTATAAAAATTATATTATAAAAAAAGGGAAGCTTGCACCTGGCAGATGGTCATCGCATTGTGGCTTTTGAATGAGCCATGGAAAGTTAGTGAAATAAGATAATTTTCGTGCTCTAGAGGTTATAAGGGGCTTAACACCTCTCAAATATAGGAGCAAGCGATCGAAATTGTTGGATGTGCATTTCTGCATAATTTGAGATTAAATCGATGTACAGGACAGCCTCCAAGAACCTAGTTAAGTTATCTCATTTAAGTTTGATAATTCTGGCCAGTAGTATTTATCCCATAAATTTAGTTAGAGGGAGGTTTTTGAGTACGATGCCCACAGAAATCTCCGGTCTACTTTGTGATGTTTATGATTATAAATTTCCTTTGTTGTTCAATGTGTATAGTAATCATTTATTAATTTATTCAGTCCACAAAAATTCTAATAATTTTACCAGATTTGGTGTGTATGTATACAAATTCAAAATTCAAATTCAAAAGTATATTCTCTATAAGGATTACAATGCAGAGTTTACAGAAATTTGGTTATTGATTTCGGATACATGTTGTACCAATTGTGGGATTAAGAGTGTACCACTAGATCGCTTTAGCATGGTCGGCATTCGGGATACTTATTTTTATTCTTAATGTAACACTATTCCCTTGGTATTATGGCCCTAGTGACTAAATACTAGTTTGTGGTTAGCAAGTGATATGCTTTTGTTTTGGCACAGTTTATAGTTTCAGTATTGGAGTACATTTCTTGCAATTTATATAGGTCTAGAGAAACTTGTGGATAGCTGGAAGGTAACGAAGGGGGAGGGGGACATTTTTGCGACTAGGGGTCCTAAAAATCCTACTAGGTCACTGTAACTTTGATAAATAATAATTATCTTAGTTACCATTTATGGTTGTACCTTATGTTACATCATGTAAATGTACATTTTCATAGTATCAGTTGTAATAATACAGTAAACGAGATGAGTTAGTTGTTAACGACCATATAAACATATAGATTTTTTAGATATAATTAAACGATAATAAATAGATTGCCGTAAATATTCGTTACAATAATTAATCGTCAGGGTCATAAAAGGCTAGGAAATAGGAGTTTAATTCGGTTTGATCCGGGGCAGAGAGGGTAATTACAGTTCTTTGGATCAAGAACCTTCATCAGCATCATCACCCAATCCACCTACACGTAAGATTGCTCCACTTCCTTCGAACAGTAGGCTACCCGGGCATCACAGAAATCCTACATACTCACTATCGGACACATACCAGGGTGGGTTTGAACCCGCAATCGTTCAATACGATTTCGTGAGTCAACTCAATAAGGATACAGTTCCTTACAGCTGCTCTCTCTGGCGAAATTAAGCTGTCGTTGTGACCTTCCTTCGCATGAGCAGGAATTGTCATTCCTAAAACTATGTGGTGCTCTCTGAAGCGCCTTTATTATCAGTGTCTTTAGTATTTTCCTTACAGTTCAATCCACCATCATCCTAATAGTCAACTTCAGTGTCTGTGAACCAGGCTTTACCTAGGACTTCAGTATTATCGATGCGATTGTGGATCAAACTTAATACTTAGAAAAGACATCTGCAAATAGAGCCACCCTTGTTACTAAGAAATAAATCGTGTCACTTCATCTCACATGCCTCTATTCAGAAATTAATCGCAATTATTTTTTGTTTGAGGTTTTCTATATGTTATATTTGGTCATTACAGTTGTGACGGGTGTAGACGTGTGAAATTGCTCATTATTAATATTTTGTTCATGATTGTAACATGTATGGGTGGTGATGATTGTTACCTTTGTAACTTGTGAGATCATTTCTTTAACCTTGTTAACTATCAACACTTGAGGACAGTTCCTGGGACCCATTATGATACCTCTGTAATCCTTAGACTCCGCTCACAGGATGGGTTGGGCGAGCATAATGAGATATTAAACAATAAACTTTGTATACTTTGGCATTGTTGTGCGTGAAATCTCCAGGATGCAACTGTATATCCAGACAATAATCTTTCTGTTCTTACTTACCCATGACCTGGCTCGTCTTCATCCTACAGGTGGGAAGGTGGACGGATTGACCATGCCCCACGGACTCCATCGCTCACGAGCCCTGGATGAGACAGTGGTATGGACCTGGCTGAGGCCAGGATGCTGATGAATATTAACAGCCGCTGCGTAGGGTGGCAGCTTGTCTGGGATAATACTGAAATTGCACCTTATACACTCAAATATATAATCATATTGTAAATGGTATACAGTACCGACAAGTTGATAAAAGCAACGTGTGCACTACTAAGTATCTTTGTTGACGAAACATTGCTCCTGCTCAGCAGCTCATTCAGACGAATTACAGAGATTATCTTCATCAAGGCTGCGGGACTTCTTACCTCAGCTACCTCTCCTCTTCATCTGCTGTCTCCAAGATTTCAATTTATCTCTGTATTTGACTGAAGAAGCCTGTGGTGCAGGCGAAACATTTTGCCAATTAGGATATCTAGTATTGCACGTTCATACTCATCAGTTAATTTAAAAAACTAAAACATCAACGAAAAAAGAAAGTTCAAGCCATTTCCTGTTGATCTTCGTATCTTCGGGAAATATCACATCCATAGGCGGCAAGAGGTGTGGGGTTAAAAGATAAAGAATCTAACACAAAGTGGGAGTTGTCCAGTTGTTCTTCTGCTGATGACCTTGTGTGTTATGGGAGATTCTGAAGAGAACGTTTGCAGAAGGTTAGTTGATGAGGTTTGGTAGGGTATGTAAAAGAAGGAAGTTAAACGTGAATGTATAGGATTGAGTAAGGTGATGAGGATATAAAAAAAAAATAGGTAATGGAAGACTGGATATCAGAATCGGAGGGGAGAGAGGATGGAGGAGGTGAATGTGTTCAGATATTTGGGAGTGGCCGTGTCAACAGATTGGGTCTATGAAGGATGAAGTGAATCAAAAATATTGATGATGGGGAAGGTGAATGGTTGCATGTGGGTTCTGTGGAGACAAACAACTTTATCCACGAAGTAACGAAGAAAATGTATGAGAGTATAGTATACCAATGCTCTTGTTGAGTGTGAAGCCTGGGTGATGAATGTTTGCGCGATGTAGAAGGCTCGGATACACGTGGAGATGTTCATGTCTGAGGGCAAGTGTGGTAGTGAATATCAAGGAGAATCCGTTGGTTCTGGAGATTCGGAGGAGGTGTGGGTTACAAAACTATTATCCGAGGGTGAGGAGGGGGTTATTGAGATGGATTGAATAGCAGAGATGATGAACGAAATAGAATGGATTTGAGTGTATACACAATAGTAGGGAAAGGGGAAGGGGGTAGTGGTTGCCTGGAAAGGTTGGAGGGGGCGGGTAAAGTAGGTTTTTTTTAAAGTGTGGCGAGGGGCTTGGACTTCAGTAAGCGGTGCATGAGGTGTTAGACAGGAGGATGGAGACAAATGGTTTTTAGGATTGAATGCTGTTGGAAGTGTAAGCCAAGGTAAACATTTATGAAGGGATTCAGGGACACGGCAGGCGGGACTGAGTCCTGGAGATGGGAAGTTACAGTGTCTGCCACTTTGAAGGGGGGGTGGTTTAAAGTTGCGGTTTTATAATCTAGTGTAAACACCTTGGCAACAAGCGTGGATGGGAGTGAATGATTTGTAAGTTATTCTTTTTGGGCCCTGCTTGGTGGGAACGGCGATTTGTGTTCGTAAAAATAAAAATGTAGTGCACACCATGCTATTTACCTACACACTGACACATCTGCATGTATCTACCATTCAATCAGGAAACAGCTAACATAGTGGCTTCACTGTTTTTCGAGTGTAAATGCCTAAGATGTTAGGCAATTTATTAGAACATTTCAAGGGTATTATAAACATGGATAATCCACGGTGAAAAGTCAAGCAGTGTGTTACTGATGCAGAAGCCATTAAGAGATTTTCCATCCATCTCACTTTTCCAGATTGAATCAGGTCTTTTATTTGTGCGCTGGATGTTTTTATTTTTAGTCATCGACGGGTATGCCATTTTTAATATTAAACCATTCCCCCCACTACGTAAGGGTCCTCTCTTAATAATTCAAATAATATTTAGGAACGATGCCATATAGTATTCCGGAGCTGATGTCCAAAATGAAGAACGCTGGGAGGTCAACTATGGAAAATAATTGATTGATCATCAGGTTTTAAGGGGGCATTGTGAACAACATATGTCATATAGCCCTAAGATAAATGGCATAAGTGACCCTCATCAAGAAATCAATGCTTTGATGAACACAATTGATTAGCAGCATAATTTAGGTATCATTAATAATAATAATAATAATAATAATAATAATAATAATAATAATAATAATGTATGACTGAAAGAAGTTGGATGTCTCGCTCTAAGCGAAACAAAAGTGAAGAGGGTAGGAGAGTTTAGTGGGGGGGAAATAAATGCGGTAATAAATCTGGAGTACTGAGAGAGTTAGAGCAAAGGAAGGTGTTGCAGTAACTGTTTAAAAGATCTGTTATGGCCGGAGAAAAGAGAATATGAATGTGTAAATTCAGATTTTGTGGATAAAGTAAAGTGGGATGCGAGAAGTGGGTCATAAATAAGCGTGTATGCACCTGGAGAAGAGAGGAATGCAGAGGAGAGAGAGTGATTTTGGGAGATGTTAAGTGAATGTATAGGAGCCTTAGACAAGTGAGCGGTAATTGAGGTAGGGGCCTGAATGCTAAAGTAGGAGCAACTTTTAGTTAGAGGGGTGTTGGTAGGTAAGTTTGGGGGTGCCAGAGTGTAAATGATATGGGAGGCCCTTTGATTGAACATTGATAGGACAGGGGTTTAGTTTAGGTCCTAAAATTTTAAGAAAAAGAGGTTAATAAGTATACACGATATGATGAAGGGCGAAATGATAGTAGTTGTTGGAATCTTGTATTGGTAGATAAAAGACTGTTAGTAGGACTTCAGGATGTAATGTTTTATAGAGGGCCCAGATATATCAGATCACTTCTAGTTGTAGCTACACTGAGTAAAAGGTAGATGGGCTACAAGGATGATAGAAAAAAAAAAGCATAGGGTAGAGCAGAGAGTGAAGGTTTATAAACTAAAAGAGGAGGCAGTTAAGGTAAGATATAAACAGTATTGGAGGATAGATGGGCAAATGAGAGCCTAGCAATGGGGACGATAGGTAGGGTTAGGTTTAAAAATTTCGTGTTAGAGTGTTCAGCTTCGAAGTTTGTGGTACCGGAAAGTGGGGAGGCGGGAGGGAAGAGGAGTGATTGTGGAATGATGATGTAAAGAGAGTAGTAGGGCGAAAACAGTTAGATATGCAAGAGTTTGTACAAAGTAGAGTGATGCCGGGGGGAGGTCTATGGAGTAAAAGAGAGAGGATAAGTGAGTGGTGAAAGCATGTAAAAAAGAGAGCAAATGAGAGAGTGGGTGGAGATGTTATCAAAAATTTGTTGAAAATAAGAAAAGTTTTGGAGTTGAGATTAACAAGTTAAGAAAGTAGAGAAACTGGAGTTGTCAGTTAAAAATAGGCGAGGAGAGTTACGTATAATGGAGAGTTAGAGGTCTTGGGGAAGATGGTGGTAATATTTTTTGAGGAATTGTTAATTGTGATGAAGATAGGAGCTGTGATTGGGTTAGGGTCAGGAGGAATAACATCGTGTAGGAGTGAGAAGAGCAGTAGTGAGTGTGGGGAAGTTTCGTGATGCAGTAAGTTAAATGAAAGGGGGTATAAGCAGCGTGAATTGATGGATAAGATTAGAAATGTTAAAGCCGGTGGGGATATAGTTATGGAGTGGTTGGTGCAATTATTTACTAAATGTATGGAGAGGGTAAGGTATAGGGATTCGGCAGGAGCAGCATCGTTTTTGTATAAGGGCACAAGGGGGACAAAAGAGGTGGCAAATTATAGGGGATAAGTCTGTTGAGTGAACCTGGTAAGTGTATGGTAGAGTTAATAATGAAGAATTAAGAGTAAGCGGAGAAGAAGAATAGGATAGAGTGAAACAAGGAGGCTTTAGGAGGTAGGGGGTGTGTGACCGGTGTTAACAGTGTGAAACCATATACGTGAACGTATTTAGATAAGGCTAGAGAGGTTTTTAGTGGATTATGGATTTGGGAAAAGGGTATGAAGGTGGATAGGGGGGCAATGTGCAGATGTTGCACGTGTTTGGAGGTAGGAGGTAGGTTTATGCAGCAGTGAAGAGTTTTTAGAGGATCGTGAGGCTAAGTTAGAGTATGTAGGAAAGAGGGAATTTTTTCCCAGTAAAAGTAGGCTTAGACAAGGATGTAGTGATGTACGTGGTTGTTTAATATATTATAGAGGGGTTGTAAGAGAAGTAGATGCGAAGGGTCTGGAAGAGGCGTGGAGTTAACAGATAAAGAATCATCACACACAAAAGAGGGAGTTGTACCTGTGTCTTTTGCTGATGTCACTGTGTCTTGGGAGATTGCAGAGAAGTGGAGATTGGTGGGATGAATTTGTTAGGGTGTGCACAAAGAGTAAATTAAAGGTAATACGAAAGCGTAAGGTTAATGGGATAACAAAAAGATTAGGTGCTGTAAGATAGCATATCGATTGGGAGGGAGAGAGTATGGAGGAGGGTGACCGTATTCGATATTTGGGAGTGGACGTGTCAGCGGATGGCGTCTATCGAAATGATTGAGGTGAATCTTAGAATAGATGAGGGAAAACGGAGTGAGTGGTTGCATTAGGAGTCTTGTGGAGCAACGGAAACTTTGTTTGGAGGCAAAGCGGGGAATGTATGAGAGTATGTTTTACCAACGCTCTTATGTGGGTGTGAAGCGTGGGTGATGCTGTTGCAGGAGAGAGGCTGGAGGCAGTGGAGATGTCATGTTGAGGGCAATGTGTTGGTTGCTATAATGCAGAGAATCGAAGTTTGGAAGTTAGGAGGAGGTGCGGGATTACCAAAAACTGTTGTCAGAGGGCTGAGGAGGGTTGTTGAGGTGGGTTGGACATGTAGCGAGAATTGGGCGTGAAACAGAATGACTTAAGAGGTATCAGTCTGTAGTGGAAGGAAGGGGGGTGGGGACGGGGCCTAGGCTGGGTTGGAGGGCGGGGGTAAAGGAGGTTTTTGTGTGCGAGGGGCTTGGACTTCATCAGGCATGCGTTGAGCGTGTGTGA